TAAGGAAAATTATGACACGGTCGGGGATTTTCTCGCCACGTGTACTGCAATAAAAACAGATTATGCTTCGCTTGGTGGCATTCACAATTGTTCCTTCAATAACCATAAAACAAGTCAATTATGAAACTTGAGATAATCTATTCCAAAGCGCTTGATTTCTATTTGCCCAAACTACTGTGGCATTTGCACAACGCGCTGATTTTTCCATTTGTTGTTTCAGACAATAAAGGATTATTTACTTAACCCATTCGTTGCAGCGAGACCCTTCGTCATCTTGATGGTTTCGTTGACTGCTGATATGGACTAACGTTTTACCGTCCGATCTCTTTCGCACTCAAGTATTTCAAGGACTAAAAGACCGAGATGGATTCGACATAACAAACTGATGTATACGCGAAGACTCAACTGCATTTGTGGATGACTTTGCTTCAGCCCAGGACGCATTTGCAATAATGAGAGTTAGAAATTCTCCGGTTCCTTGACTTATATTTTTGCTGTACCATCCAATTTATTTTTTATTCTGTCTGCTCTATTGAAACGATATACTACAACCATGATGCATTCCAACATCTGTTTAATTCTTTGTCATCTATAGTCAACACTGACCATTAGAGATGAACTTTCGTTCTGCGGTTTTGATTTCATCTCTTCCTCTGACCCGTGAAATTCCATCACTCGGTAAAGCTCGTTACCACCGAATAACTTGCAGATTTTGAAGCCTCGTAAACATTTGAATATGAGGGTCTTCGAAGAAGATCCCAATCTGTCAGGATCAACGTAGGAAAAGATGGCATCTGCAACGTCAGCTCAAGAAAAGCCTCGAGAAAGATCGCAAAAACTGGTCGGTCAGAATAGCTAGTGAAATGGAAGTAGCCTCTGCATCAAGGGATAGTCAAAGGCCCCTGATATGCAGCACCGGAGGTCGTCGCATATCGATCAGCAAAACTGTTTGCGATAAAAGTACACAGTGTTCACGTTAAAGAATGACGATCGCATCGCCGTATGAAGAGAGTATTTTAGTGAACAGTTCAACCAGTCTGGTGTTAGCGCGATCATTACGACGATTGTAACGGCAACTACGTGGAAGGTAAAATCTGAGTGCTACAGTAGTACAAAAACCAGGTTGTATTCCACCGTTCGAATGAGAAAGCAGTGACCAAACGCGATTCTATCCATTGTACTAAACCGAAGTGTGACTCTCACAGCGACTTGACACGAGATTCATATGCAATTTTTCGTAGCAAAGGCGTTCCCTTCCACGGTGGGCTGGATTGACAACATTTTTGACCTTGAGAAAGAAATAGCATTAACGGCGCAAATCACCGTACAACACGTGTATGCAAGAGCATGGCAAAGGTGTTGACTTCTGTGATACTTTGTTGCCTGACACCCTTAAGGGAGAGAAACGTCCGTGGACGGTAAGCCGGATTCCGACCAGGTCACCCTGCGTGAAAACTTCGAATGACGTCACACACATCGTCGGCCAACAATCGCAGTGTTTGTTGGCCAAACAGGAGCCCTCGACTGAGTTGACTGCAAAACCCTAATCGGTTCTCTACTTCGTAAAGGAATGTCACAGAAGCATGCAAACCTATTGAGATCAGTGAACTTGCATACTTCTACGTCTACGGTGGGCTAAGCAAGTCGTTCGAAACCAGGAGTGGTGTTCGTCAAGGGCGCCCTATTCGGCCATTCCTTTTCGATTTTGTCGCCAATGAAATACTAAAGAACGCACTAAGTGGTCTCCCAAATGTTGGTATTGAATGGGCAGCTGAAGAAATGCTGTGCGATTTAGAGTACACTGACAACATCGTTTGTCTGTTCGAATGCAATGAAAATGTGTAAAGCGGCTTTGACAGACATTCAAGTGCTATAACTCCCTTTGGTATGCGCTCTGCACTTTTCAAGGGCAAAGTGATAGTACAAGATTGGGTGTCGTCTACCCGACTTGGATGGTCAGGAATTAGTCATAGGATATTGTTTCTTCTGCTCAGATAGTTGCATGACAAACGACGGTAGCATAATAAAGGAGGAAACCAACAGTATTCCCTAGGCACCAGCAGTGTATGGAGGACTGAAACGCCTTTGGCGCCGACGTGTTGTTTCATTGAAGCTGAAAGGTCGCGTATACTGCACCACTGTGCAGTCAGTTCTGCTCTGCAGTTGCGAGACACTAAATTTGGGTGTGGAAGGGATTTTTCGTCTAGAATTCTTTGACTGTCGATGTTTACGTAGTTTGGCGCCGCTTTGATGGGGCGAGTGTGTAAGCTACACTACGGTAAGCCGTAGGGTGTCTGGTGATGAATTGGTGGAGAATTGGTTATCACATCGAATTCAGATTAGTAGGCTTCGCTGGTTGGTGCACGTATTTCGCGTACCCAGTTGTTCCCTATCGCACCGCGCCTTATTTGCATTTGCGGCTCCAGGTTGGAAGAAACCGCTTGGAGGTCAACAGATGACGTAGAAACGAGACTTGAATAAACGCACAGCGATTAGGTGGAGTATTTATATCCCGTCTTTCAGGTTGAGGTCCAAGAGGCGACGGTGATCGAGTAGTAGGTTGGTCAAATGAATCACCTGAAGGTCCTGAGTTCAAGCCCCACCATTGCCTCCCATCTTTCTACTATCGGTATTTCCCCAGGAAACATGTGTATGGTTTGAAAGTTTATTGAACATTTCTGTAGTTAATAAACAAAAAAGAAAGCAAAAAATTTATTATTACATTATTAAGGGACACTTAAGAATATGGCTGCTAAACAACAGCAGCAGCGTTTTTGGCTGCCACTTCCTATCAGACTGAAATGTTTGAGAAGGTATGTAAGCGTAGTTGAGCTATGTACTTTGTGTATTGACCAAAGAGATTCATTTTCTTTGTCTCCTTCCAATGGGACTCAGTCCTAATCTGTCTTGTATATTATCGCTTGCTTTGTATACGTTGTGAGCTTTACAGTGATCGGCGAAATTCGCTTCACTGTTCTCCGCTGTACTATCTCTTGTTTCTTTGGTTTTGATCCTACCCATACATGAGGCGACAATAATTACATTACTGGCCTCTAAGATGAACGGTGAACATGATGATGAACATGATATCGCGAAAGTGTTATTGCCAACAAGTCCCGGTGTTAGACTCATGATTCGTAACTAAGTCTTCATTGTCATACCTTGTATGGGATCAACAAGCCGGCATAGAAAACACTGCATATTATGAGGAAAAACAGCAAATACTGAAGTGAAGCGCATTGTCTGCTTGCACACAAGTGATTGACCACCACGAAATGAATTAATCACTTGGGCTGAGGCAATCATAGGCTGTGACAGTGACCGGATAGGATGCCGTCGTTTCGCTGGGGTTAAAGGATACAAAGATAGGTGTGGTAGAAATATCATATACACGTCACACAGAGAGGATGAAATGGTATATCCGGGTCGGTGAACCAATGGCATTCTGCGGCGCAAAAACCTCTGATCAAAACCCCAATTCGANGCCCCAATCGCATTTTCCCGGCTTTGACAGAGCTACCGACCTGATCAGGCACCTCGGGCACTTGACTCCATCCAAATGGTGAGTGAACCGATCCCCAATAGACTGCAGACTCTAGCATCCGTCTTGCTGCGTTACAGGTGACGCATATGCCAACACCGCTCTGCAATTTGGTCACCTAGATGGTATTACGCCTTCGCGACTCATGAAAAACCTTATGTTGCGAAAGGCAGCCAATTTTTATATAATTGGTAGTGTAAAGTAAAGTGCAAAGTGTAAAGTAAAAGCATTGGTCAATTGGAGGGATAAGATGATTTTTCTTAATCGAAGGCAAGACAGTATACTGAGGTGATTAAAAAGGAGATTAATCCGGAAAAGCATATGATAGATAATAGATAAGAAAACGGGATACAATGGAGTACGAGGAAGCCCTCCAAAGGAAGTGCATGTGTATGCAGATCAGGGACAAAATAAATTGATCGCAACATTTACGAAACGCGAGTAAGACTCGAATAAGACAATCGCAAATTGAAAACTGTACGGCACGCTTAGACACGGAGCGGAAAGCAAAATCCGACTGCCAGTTTACACTTTTCACTGCCTTACATATTCAGTAGTCTGTCACTCAGGTTTTATTGTGTTGTCTTCTTTGTTTGCGACCGACTCACGTGTTAGTGTCATGCCCAAATCCAGACATTTCCGATACCGGCAATGCGGACACTTGCCCCTACCGGGACCTTCTACTCGACACTGACCACCCATCGGGCAAACAGATTCAGCCGGGGAAGGTCCGCCAGCTTCCGAGTTCCGATAGCGTGCGGCGGTGTGACGCATGAAGAATTTCTGTGGGACGATAGAAAAAGGACAGGAACAAAGAGGGAGAAACATAAATTAAACGTGGGCAGCAAATCCCATTTCTAAAGTGGCGCATTGTACAAAAAAATCATTTTCTCTCTTCTCTAAAGGTCTTTGTCGAGTAAACAAACAGTGAGATCATACAAATAAACAGACTGCGGCACAATCGAGAAATTTCAGAGGAAAAGGAAAAAAAAACTTCAACTTTTAGATGCGATAATTTTGTCTTCTAGCCATCCTAAAGGATTCAACCAGTACAAAAGCCAACCTCGTATAAAAGTGATTAAAGCGAATCCATGTGATGTAAAAGAAGGGACTGAAGAATGGGAACTGGCTAAACCAAGTAGTGCCTCGAGCGCCAAATTAGAACACATTTCACCTAGACCTGACCTTTAATCGAAGTTGGAAGGTAACCGGAGTTAGGATTTTGCGCGAGCTCATCACGACGAGACTGCACCTTGACTTGGTATGACGGCTTGCGTGCCTCCAGGACCCTGCCAGCTATACCGGATTGCTCTTTACAGCCACAGATCCAATCTTACCTGAAAGGTCAATGGGTAGAGGCCAGACGAAGCTCACACTCATTGAGCCAGCTGTTTGGGCACCTGGCTTCCCTTGTTTATCCACACTCGCCCTGTAGAGGTCACTCTAGTAAATAAACACGGGGAGGGACAGTTTAGCTGAGGCTTCCTCTCGACGAATGGAGGTTTTCGCACTTCACAGCTACCGCCCGCCGAAGCTGAGCAGCCCTCGGCCAATAAAGTACTGTCCCGTCCACGTTCTGCCTGTCTCATTGGGTGCAAGGGCCAATCCCGAAGAGCGGACCGACAATCAACGCACCAGCAAAAAATACACTGAACCGAAACCCGAAGGCCTTGCGTGACTGGTCTCTAGAAGTTTCCACACGGGTGCTTCGATCACGCTCCGCATTGGATCTACGCCCCACTGCTTTGTGGGTCAGACATTTGAGTCGAAGGCTCCGGTTAGAGTTCCTGAAGAAAAAGAAAAACCCTCGACGGTGTGGTCTGCCGCGAAGCATGTTTTGCCCTACAGTATCAGGTACCCATTTGGATATCCCTGGTTCTCATGTGTCCGTTTTCTCTTCGCGCTCGCAAATCTTGAGAGATACCTCTTGTTTGCGCCATCCATGAGATATCACTCATCGTTCAATTGGTGAGATCAACCACTCAGAAACTGTCAGATTTTTGAAACCAAAATCTCCCTTCACTTAGCCGCGTTTAATTTATATTTGTATAAGTTTTGAAAGCGTAATATGCTTCCATTTCAGTTACAAAATTTAATTTGATATCCACACACAATCAGGTCGGTTAAATATTGCTTTAGCTGGAACTCTTAACACTTTTAATTCATATATATGTTGTCTCCAAAAAACGCATACACGATCGAACTTCAATCAAGGTCTTGCGATCTCCAGATCCGACCTCATCCTCACGTTACCCTGTCCGTGCGTCAGGCGATTCGGCACCCGAAGCTCGTGATATTACTGGTGTTGGGATTTCGCCAAGTGTCAAGGCCGAGCGTTCACTTCTCGACGGGATTCCAGTTAGTAGCCGCATTTCGCTGTACGTATGGATTGTTCAGTTCGGGTCAACAGCTACAGAAGGAAACGTCGGTGGTTATTGGTTGCGCCGGAATATGCACTGACCGACTGCAGTGCACCAGAAACGAAGGACGGATTCTACATGGAATTCTCTTAACTGCTCCAGTGTTCGATGAGTGGACATCTGGAGACTTCACTCCTCAGATGGGATCCCTGGACGAATGAGAAAGGATTCCTGATGGTTCAAGTGAGATTCCAGCTAACCAGACAGACAACGAAGAACGCCTAGTGTAATTTTAGGCTAACCACGGACTGTTGCTGTGAAAGAACAGAAAACGAAACCGCCTAAGACTGAGACCGCCCACCTCTTCACAGCACTGAACTTGAATCAACCACATTCCCATCAGTTACCGCTGAAGGGGGTCCACGGAATACTGCCGCTCTCACTGGTCAACCACGTTTTGTTACGAGCCAAGTTCTCTTTGCGCCTGTCAAACAGCCACATAAAAGCCACCGACAACAGATCCCCACGGTACAACGTCAGAGATTGCTGCAAATCAGCCTTCGATGCGGAAATCTAAGATCGCCTGTGAGTTCAACCACCATCCAAAGGACTCAACGAACATCGGAAGCGAATCAAAGAAGCTATACTGATATGGATAATAACAACGTCCGACTCTGACGCAGGCTCGAAACACAAACGATGGATCTCATCGACCTCGCATGCCCTGCTAGACGGTGCAGAACCAGTCCTCCTGGTTCTAAGTATGACAGCGCGCAAATCCCCAAATACCAGCTCATCAAGAGTCTGAGGAATGACCGGCAGCAGTGGTGGGTAGGAAAGTGTAAAGTGATGAAGAAAGCTGCGGCTATCGGTAGTTGTCGCAATCTTTTTCATTTCATTAGAAGTACGGATTCAAGGAAAGTAGACGTGAGATAATCAAGGAGTCTGACGGCACACGGATTCATCATCAGCAACGCCGTCTTGAACGTTGGGTGGAGCATTTTAAGGCACAGCTCAGCTGGCCTCCGTCGACACTAGACTTCCCTACATATACTTCAACTGGGCAAATGCTACCAGTTGACATCAGTCCTCCATCTGCAATGGAGATTACCCGGGAAGAGAATTATCTCAAAAGGCATAGGGCTTTTGGTCCGAGCGGACTGTCCCCATCGGTTTTTATGGATAGAGGTTCAGCCTTGATTTCAGAGTTGACGAAACTCCTGGGCTCAGAGTGGATGAGTGAGGAGGTTCTAACTGAATGGTCTTAATCGGTCATTATACCGATTTACAAGAAAGGTGACGGGTCCTTTTGTGGAAACCACAGAGGAATTGGTTCAATCAACATTGCCTCTAAACTCCTCGCTTGCATCATACTCCGCCGATTGTCTGCCGCACGTGAACGGTACTCGTGTGACAATCAGACTGGTTTTAGACCTAGTCGAGGTTGTATCGACCACATCTTCACTCTTCGTCAAACTCTGGAACACCGACATTCTTTTCTTAGACTCACCATCTCTGTCTTCCTCGATCCGAAAGCGGCTTTCGACTCAGTCGACCGCTCCGAACTCTGACACTGCCCTTCCCTGCAGGGTGTGCCCGAGGAGTTGTGGACAGTACTACGATCCCTTAATGGCCGAAGCTGAGTCCGAGCTTACAGCACTTTTTCGAGGTTAATGGCATCAATTTACTCCCAGGTGGCAGGCTGTCTGATCTAGAGTATGCGGATGATATCGTGTTACTAAGTGAAGATCCAGTTAAGTTGCAAGCTTTTCTGCATAGTTTGAGTGCCAGCGTAGCCATGTTCGGTATGCGTTTTGCACCTTCAAAGTGTAAAATGTTATGCTCGGGTTCGGGTTGCATCCTTTTGAGCGCTCACTTTGGAGGCCGACGGAAGACCATTTCAGGTCTCTTGGCCCAGTTTCCGCAAATTCCACTCGGATTCACCTAGGTACTTGCCTATTATTGGGGTTTTGTTTTTTCTAACTCCCTGCGCGATAGACCGTTTTTAGTTTGATTTGCAGATTCGGGACCACTAACCTCAGGATATCTTTTACCCGATGACTGTCTACTTCCAGGTAGGCTTTAGATTCCCTGATATTTGGTTTCTCTCTCTCGAGGATTGGTACGGAGTTTGGTTTGTAAGGTTTTCTCCCCCCCCCCCCAGTGATCTTGGTANTTTCCCCCCCCCCCCCCAGTGATCTTGGTATGATTTACTTCTGTTTTCAATTTCTACAGTTCGTTCTCTGTCAGCAGTAGACTATAGTCTAAAGGCTTTAGTCCATCCTTGATGGTGTGAGACTTTTTCGATCTCCGTTTTGGTTGTTTATTCGCAGCCTTGCGTTTTGGTTGACTTTTGACCAGCTGTGGTCTTTGCACCACCTCTCGGGTGATGCTATTGCCACCCGTGTTGTTGCAGTCTGCGCGAATGAATGAAAATTTAGCTAACAGCTTCTCATACATAGAGTTTTGTGGGGGTCGCACACCCATTCGAGTGCGCATATATTCTATTATCTAACTTCTCAAAAACGATCGGTAGAACTTACTGTTAAGCTTGTTGTACTGGTCTTCCATCGTAACTTAGTAGCAGTTTACAGAGAACAAATTTCACGCAACTGAATCGAACGTACCGCTAAGGCTATGTTAGAGTTTAGGTGAGCCCCCTATATATCTTGAGTGCCCTTTCAAATCACAGTGGTCGAAGGTCTGATCGATACAGACAGTGGTTTAATCACGGTTCTTGAGACTTTTACTTCGTAAACCTAGTTCATTCAGTGTCCTACTTTACCTAAGTTGCCCATGTTTTAAGTGGCCTCCAAGGCCGGCAGCTCCATCGTCAAACTGAAGAGTCGAACGCGTGTTTTGAAAATTCGTTAGCTGCCGTGGGTGCGACCTGACGACTACGGGAGACGGTGGTGAATCAGTGGGATTGAACCGTACTTGTTCACGGCTACTCATTGACTGTTGGCAGTCTCCTATCCGTGACTTGGGAATGCGCATAGTAGCAGACAGCTCTGCTGTATGAGGAGCCCAAAATTACGTCCGGAGTTTTGGGCGAGCACTCCATAGTCTCAAGTAAATAGAACCACATTCTTTGTACATCAGTTTGATCAATCGTCGTTTGTGAATATCCCTCTTATATAGTAAAATGATCATTTCATGCGTTTGTAATATGCGGTAGTGATGTGGGAGCATCCAACGTGGATTGTGAAAACAATCAAATATCTGCTGTTAAATTGAGGAAATACGATCACAATCTTTTCGTAATTGAAACGGTTGTTCATCGAAGCCTGTACTTAAACTGCTGTACATTTATTGAAATCCTGAATGAACATGCATCTAAAATCGACGAGGTTCGAAACGATGTGATTAAGGTTCCGTTTCTGTATCGAACTATAGACAAAATTTCGATTATCAAAGTTATACTGGATTCCTTTCTCCCTTCCCAGTCTAATTCAGCAGTGTCGCGTTCACACTCGAACTCTTTCATAACCCAGCACGACACTTTCCCTTTACACTCTCCATTACGTATTTCGTTGCTAGTTGTTTATACAGAAGATACCGAATGTCCTATGATAAGTGCTTCCCTGAGCCCGGTAGTAGTAGAAACGAACATTTCTATTGATTTTGAGCACATGCTCATAAAGTTGATGGACAATTTCAGTTCATTTCCTCTACGTGGATAAAATCTTCTGCGTATTCATATCTCTTGAATAATAGTTGCGTCAGTAGGTACGAACCTACGATAGTAACAGTTATTCACTTTCGTAGTATTGTTGTTATCTCAGTGTTTTTTGCCTAGTGATGTGGTTTGATCCTCTTCCTCATGAGTATCCGATTGGTAAAATGTCCGTGTTATGTGTGTCTTACTTTTTAAATTGAGGTGCTCCTATTATAACGCGGGCCTTCGTGTTGTTCGCACTTCGTTTTCCTGAGCCAATGACTTTATTCTATTGAGATTGGTCGCTTTATGAGTGTACAAGACATTATTGTTTTAACACGTTGAGCCTTCGTTATAAGTTTTTTAGGGTTTGTTTTCCACATATCATTGATATACTATAGCAGTTTGTACGCTGCGGTTAACCCAGTTATTGTTTTCGCTTTCGGTGGATATTTTTCTGTTAGCGTTCTGATGTTTACTGGAATGCTGTCTTGTACTCCACTTTCCAGGTTTGTCCGCCTTTGTATGTACCATCTAATTGTTGGGTCGCTTTTCCTCCCTTTTCAGGTAGTCGGATCGGCCGTCAACCAAACGCAATTAAATACTATTGTGCCCGCGAAATTTCACAGCTCAGTTCAACGGGCGATGCGGATGGTGCGCCAATTTCCTCGATCGTTCCGATGGCTAATGGTCGAGGTGCTTTCAACAGCAATAGACCACGAACTAGTTCACTTTCCTCGTCTGAAGGCGGTGATAAAGTGCGTTCCCCCGCTCCTATAGGTCGAAATCCCACTAGCAGCAACAATAGCACTGGTTCCGCGCTGATCACAACGACCGCTAAACCCGCTGCATCGTGGCCATCCGTGGATCGAACTGTTCAACCTGCTGAATCGTCCACCGATCGAGGTTGTTCATCCGGTCTATCAGCGATGACTAACAACTCGCTCACCTCTAATGGTCAATTGTTCATGTCCTTGAGCGATTCCTGTAGGACTAACAACAGCAAGAATAATAGTGGTGCTAACAACAACAACAACAACAACAGTAACAATAATCAGGCGAACATGTTCTCCAATATGCGACGGTTTTCATGCGAACCGGTTTTAGGCACGCATGGAAAATCCGCCTTGACTCCCGCGATGAAGAAACGAAAATCGGTTGGGAACTTGCAGCAGCAGCACTCGATCGATTCCACCGGTATGAAAGCGACAACTCCAGGATCATCAAACACAGAACGCGATCGATTGAAATACGCGCCAACGCAAGCTGTCGCATTTGATGAGGTCCACAGTAGTAGTAGTAGTAGCAATAATTTGTCGCCGAGCACGCGGATTCAGAATGCGAATCAATCCCGTGGATCACGGAATTGGTACACTCCTTTCACCCAGTAAGTGCATATTACGGTCCTGCTGCTTATCCACTTTATTGAACCTGATTTCATTTTCTCTCGCTTTATGTGTTAGCAGTCTCTCAGCCTGGAAAGATGCCGTCATAGTTGTAAGAGTACTTCAAGCCTACAATCAGCGAAGCTGTACGCTGTTGGGCGTCACTGGTTTGCTGTGTTGCGGAAGACTACTTCGGTATTTGTTTGTGATTGGACGACTACGGACACCCAACAGTTGTTTCGAACGACGTGGCGAATTTTTAATTGACGTGCCATCTTTCCGCAACTAGAAGCTGTACTGGTCTAGAATTATAAAAATCTGTCCCTCCACCAAAAAGGGCAATAAGTGCCACCTTATTGGTTCACAAATGGCACTTATCTGTGCAAAAACTGGAGGCACACTTGAGAAAATTGTAGTAAAGCTGCTATTTTGTGGTACATTCCATGAGGGTTATATATCCCCACCGAGAATAAAGCTGTCCCAGTGTGAATTTATCTCTAACCACATGTTTTTCATGCATCTCATTTTTGACACTCCAATTGCATACGTACAATAACTTTTATGATTCCTGTGGCCTTTCTTTGTCAGAGCTTCCGACGGCCCTGATGTGTATGATCGGGGGCTTCGTCCGGGTGTGATTACCCTGGACGCATTACCTCGTGCGCCAGTTCTGGAATATTCGCTACCAAATCCTGATATGAGCAGTCATATTTCCTCTACAACCAATTCACTCCACGAGATTCGTTCCCCGGGTGTTGAACCCGATGATGAAATAGATATCTCCCAGGGAACGAATGACAAAATGCTCAACCCATTGGCCGTTCATCTTCCTTTGGACGAAAATTCCGAAGATTTGGTCACCAGTTATTGTAAGTCGTTTAACACCGGACCTACCGCGATCGTTGTGCTACCTCGACGTGAGCCGTCTTCCACCTTTGCTTACTCTCCTACAATTGGTAAAGATTCAACGGCTGGCCTGTATCCTTTTCCTAATCGATCAGCGTTTCCGGACCAGTCATCACCGTCCCGTCTGAGTTTGGTCCCGTCTGTGACGGATTCCGGGTCCCAATCAACCGGGCAGCTTCCGCTGCCAGAGGATGATGACGATAATGAGGATTCTCAAGCTCAGGGTGTTGACTCCACCAATGCTCGTTCGACGCGGAGCATTGTAGATCACCTTACCTCCACCGTTCTACAATTTCGGCAGCAACATCAACAACGTCTGGGTTCACTTGCGTAAGTGCATTCTCCCAATCGAGGTATTGTTTTCCTCAAAGTATTCTCGGTATGCATTCCGGTTGAGTGTATGTTACGTGCCGTTATAGCAGATACTCTACGTAGCTTCATTAAGAATGTATTCGAATTGGAGGTTTGTCGATGCGAAAATGATGATCCGAAGAATACTAACTTGCCTCTCAACCGGATCTACAACTTGGCTCTTTCAATCAGTCTTAGTAGGCAAGTTCCAGGATACTTCAGGAACGCTGCTGTTGCAGTGACTTGATGAGAACCTACTGCAGAATGTTAATTTCCACAAGTTAAGTGTTGGTATCCTATAGGGGTCTGTACCAAATACCAGTTTGTTGCATCAACGTCAATAGATTGCATCTGGGTGAATTTACGCCTAATAAAGATAAGTTAAGTTTCGAAGTTTCCAATTTTTCACAAAAGTATGAGATGCACCTAAGTAGCTTCACCTTGTGCTACTTTGCGTGAAGTGTAGAATTCAGCTGCCTCACTCAAAGTTCAATCCCCAAGTCCTCTATGTTGGCGACGTCAAAGTTGAATGGCCTCCACCACGATTGCTCCAATCACCGAGGGATCAGTCTTATCTCTGTTGCATCCAAGCTGTTGACGTCGTTGATCCTTCGCAGGCTCAGATGGACAAGAGAGCGTCATATTCGCGAAGAGCAGGCTGGATTCCGCCCTGGCCGCAGCTGCGTTGATCACATATTTACGTTATGCCAGATCCTCGAGCAACATCAAACGTTCAGTAGACCAACCATCATTGTGTTTTTGGACGTGCGTGCTGCGTTTGACTCAGTTGATAGGGCAGCCCTTTGGACTTGTCTGTTAGGAAGAGGTGTGCCTGAGAAGTACGTAAGCCTTCTAAAAGCCGTCTACTCAAATACATCAGGCCGCGTCAAGATCTATGATCGCATCTCCTCTTCATTCACCATCGCAAGCGGAGTTCGACAAGGGTGCCCAGCTTCGCCCTCCCTCTTCAGTTTCGCAATAGACAAAATCCTAAGCAGCACTTCCGGTGTGGAGCTCTTCCTATGTGATCGACTCCGTGACTTGGAATCGTTTTACTCTGCGACTCCTCCCAGGAGACTCAAAACATCTTGTGTAAGTTAGCGTTGTCCGTCGCGGAGTTCGGTATGACATTTTCTCCATCGAAATGTAAATTTTTACTGCAAGACTGACAAGAGTTTACACCTGTCCTCACGCTTACGAATGACCAATAGGAAATCGTCGATCGCTTTACTTATCTCGGGCGTAGCTTCAGCTTAATAGGACTGACGGAGAAAGTATCAGCGCGTATGCGCTAGGTTCGAGTGGCTTTCGCTAACCTACGTCGTTTGTGGTGCCGATCTCAGTCTCTTCTTGAAAGGCCGCGTTTACAGTGCCACAGTACGCTCTGTCATACTCTACGACTGTGAGAGTTGGCCTTTCCACGGAGCAGACGTACGGAGATTAAGTGTATTTGACCAACGTTGCCTTCGTTGCATCACCAGAATACGTTGGCAACAGCGAATCACCAACGACGAGGTTCACCGAAGACAGACGATCTCAGTCGTCCTCTGAGTGCTGTCATCTCGCTCCAGAGACTTCGATGGCTAGAACATGTGTTGCGGATGCTGGCTTAGTGGCTGGAGACCCTAGCAGTACCCGTTCATCAAACTCCAATACATATTCATTGCGAGTTTGGCACCAATTAGTGAAATTCTTTTCCCTCAATTTCGCTGTACGATAATGATGATGATGATGCCCGCCTAACGATTGCCCCATCATGTTATCTTTGCGCAAGCCGACACTATCGATCGATCTATCTATCTAATCTAATCTATCTGTCGCCTCACTGTATTTCGCTGTTCGATGATGGTGATGAAAAAGGTTCAATGAGATACGGGATCGGACCGATCACAGGATAGCTTCAAATTAAGTGTTCTCGGGTGACATTGCTGTCTTCCACCAAAGGAGAGAGAATTTCGGGCACATGTGTGCACGATCAGGGCTGTGGCGGTGCTTCAGATTGATTTACTGTCCAGTTTATCGGATTGGGTCAAACGTCCAAGTTGCCCAATATACTCTGATATGCAATCGAGCCGGTAACCACAACCGTGTGTGCGTGTGGGCGTGTGTGTGTGTGTGTGTGTGTGTGGTTTACACGGTTATTTTCGGTGCGATTGGAATCGTTTTTTTAGCCAGCTCCCCAAGCTGAACTGCCATAGGTTCAGTGAGTCGGTTTTAACCCTGGGTGTTGGATTTTCGTCCTCCAACTTTGGTGGGCAAACCACCCCCGCCCCAGAAGACATAAGTATTTTTTCCTCAGCAGATGCTGTTTGAGATGTTCGGTCATATAGAACCATTTGAAGAAGTGTGAGGTAAGTGTGATGAGCCACAACTCGCAACACACTCCTGACCATACTGAGGCTTTCTGAGATGCGCATTTTATGCCTTCTTCAAGCGCTAATTCATGGTACTAATTTTGATCCTTTATCTCAACTGTTTTACTGACGTTTGTTTTTCCTTTTATAGCTTTTAAGATCTGCAATTTTGGTCTCTAGATGCAAAATACTACATTCTTTGGGTCACAAATTTGTTTGCGGTCGTATTTGACACCCGTCTCCTATCGACGGGGAGGGATGGAGGGGGGGGGGGCAGAGGAAGAAAGAATGAGAGCGCGTTTATCACCCTAGATCTAAGTAATCAGTGAATTATAGGACCACTTAATTTTTGCACTTTATGAACCAATTTCTTTGCTTCAGAGTCTATTGTTATTGTACAGTGATTTGTTTGGCACAGGACTTAGACGCGTATGAAATATTATATAGTAATGCTAGACATGTATTTCTCTCGTTGGTTTTCTTTCATTCGTTAGCAGAACTGATATTTCGACTGGATCTATCAAACATTCAGCTTCTTCTCCACCACCATTGGAGACCGAACCTAACGCATCACGTCTCCCTCCACACAATCGGCGACTCACTGAACTCCCGTCGGGCTCCCTTTCAGATGAAAATGAAAGCGCGTATCCGGCACCTTCCGATAGTCCATCCCAACCGGTTCTTCCAACCCGAGCTCCCATCTCATCCTCTTATCATGCCTATTCGTTCCCTTCCTCCTGTAAACCGGCGTCGCCTGAGTTTGCATGGCATAACCAATCATCACAGCCACAAACGCACACCCATTCTCATCCGAAACAGCGCTATGCTAAATCCAATGGTAGTCCGTCATCCACCTTTGATTCAACGCAACATTTTCGTGTTCCAGGTGCACCACACACACCTAAATATTGCGACCTTTCTCCACGCTCGATCAACGGTAATTCGGAACATTCACCAGCAGTCACGGCTGCGCTTTGCGCTGCAGCTGCAGCTGAAGTCACCTCCACATCATCCTCATCCGCTCCCTGGTTTGCTGCAGCTGCTGCGGCAGCAGCAATGGCGAACGCACTCATGGTCGCCTCACAAGCACCATCATCTTCATCGAACACACCTGGTTTGTTCGCAGATGCGTACGCTATTCATACCAGCGGAAATGGATGCCAGACAGAGATCACTGGATGTCGTCGTGGTGCGTTGCCTTCGACGATCAGTTTCCCAAAGGTGAGAATGTGATGGGAAACCTTACATTCGATATACAACTTTTTTATTACGGCGTTTAACGATTGGCATTTATTCTAGCCTTTTAATTTTAGCTTCGGTTGGTGCTGACCGCTCATACATAGTTCACCTCTATTATGTTAGTTTGTTCTCATTATCTTCTACGAACAACAACCGAAAGACTTTGTCCACCCCAGTAATTCAGTTATCCTATTCATCCAGCCTAAAATGAGCATATATCTTTTTGAGTTTTAACGGCGTAATATCCATATGATAGTCATTTTCCTCAACTCATCCTTGCGTTTCTGAATTACAGTGGTATTGCTGACAATAATATAAATTATATAGTGTTTTCGATTTTATGCCGAACATGTCGTTCCCTATTTATTAGCTAACCTGATACATCTTGACTGTTTATCTAGGCAAACGTTTTGTCTGGGACACTTGATGTTACTTATTTTGATATTCGGCAACCTAAGTACTTGGAATAATGGACCATAANAGGATAAAAATGAGCCGGGCGATAGCTGAGCTGCATGTCGCCTAAGTTTAGTGTTGGTACCAAGTTTTGAACCTCCACCCCGAAATCTGAAGCACCTCAGTTACAGCCTCTTAAACCCTCTAACCATAATCATGGTCGTGAATGAAGGTATAAAATCTTGAGTACGGTCAAATTGTACGGTTAGTGGTCGTTCACCTGTTTTTCAAATCATCTTTAGAATTTTTGTCTAATACATTTGCATGAGAGTGATGGGGGATTCGGTCTGATCATATAGTGAATTTCGTCGTGTAATGGAACAATTGAAGCGTAAGATGAAAAGCTAGGAAGCACTGTACTTGGTTGTTGTGCGAATCCCTTGACCCGATTGAGGATGGAACTCGAGACCTCGCAGATATAACGCAGGCACACGACTTGGTAGACCACCGAGCAGTTGGTCAGACTTTAATTTTCCTCATACTGGATATAACAACCAATCTTTGCGAGCTTATTGCAGACATCGTACCTTTCACATCTCAACACCAGCCTCCTAGGTTGTGACTTGGTGGGAAACTTTCCTGCCTGGTTACATGTTGCATGAAAGCGACTGCAGTTTACACGACAAAATTCACCACAAATTCGAGTCAAGTACATTTTGTATGCACCGCGAAAGGTAAATATTTAGCAGCAATAGTATAATGTAATAACATAATAAATTTACGTTGGCTATCAATTTTCACTCAGACTATAACCACCCTACGAAAGTTAAGTGTTCGCGACAGTAGTAGTCGATTGGTTTCATTTTGAAAATACAGTTTGTGCTCATTTCTTTTCTGGTCCCTTCGTTCTAGCGTCTCAAAGTTTCCAGTTCAGATAGTCCACTGACTGTAAATTCCTCGGGTCCACCCATATGTTCCGTTAGTCCGCATCAGCTGGAACAGTATGTGGGCAGTTTGGGCAAATGCGACGCAAGTACAGTTCTCCGTTCATTTCATTTGCCCAACCAGGGCATTGATGTACAAGCGAATTCGCGTCTAACTCATCCGTCAACAGTCGCTGCTATGCGTGCAGCCGCAGCAGCAGCAGCTGCAGCGGCAGCAACAGCTGCGGGACTCGTCCTGTCTAACAGCGGTGTCCGACCGCTTCCGGATGAGTTGGCTCAAATGCATCGAACCACAGCGGCGGCTGCAGCTGCCTTGACTACATTACCGGATGTTTCGCATTCATATGAAAACTCCACAGCTAGCTCATCTCCGTCACCACCGCCAGTCGCTCAGCCATCAACACAGCAACTACCACCGCATATATTCGGTCGTATTCCTTGTACACTTACGGATGCTCCGGTAATGTACGGGTCATTGGAACCGAGGTCTACGGCAAATCTATCCATACCTCGCAAGGATCCTGAACCAGTTGGGCGCACAAAGAATGGACCGGGTGCGGTGAGTTTGAATAGTTTTATTGCCAAATATTAGTGAGATTTTTTTCAGTATATCACTTACAATCTTATGGAATATAATTTCAGAAATTTTTCTGTTGTAATTGCCGGGTTTTATGTTCATATTCCCTCTAAGGCTGAACTAATAGCATGTTTGCATATTGCAGATGTTAATGAAACAGTACTGCCAGTTCAGTTTTTTCGTTTATTCTTCATTTTCTTCCCGCTTCCAGTTTTTCTTCCTGTGTTTCTTACTTTAGTATGGCTTAGATGCATGATTGTATGCGAACCGTGTTGTAACTATCGCTGGATTTTAAGGCGTTGCAAAAGCCTGAGCGCGAACATATGGCAAAATTTGTGCTCCTCAATATTCCAACCCACATGTGCCTGCAGGCAACCGTCAACAGCGTACACGTTTTCTTTCTATTGTGGTTATCACACATCGATGACGTTCGGCCCTCGTAACTTTCATCGAACGGACGTCGCTCGAACGTAGAGTCGCGATACTGATAGAAGGGATTGTCAAATTAGTATGTGGATATGTACTGTGGAAAAGAGTCGCTTCTTGTGTTTTTTTTACATATTCATGTGGGTGCTTACGCGCACCGGTCCGAAAATTCGATCGGAACTAAGAGTAATCAATAGAAACCCTCGATTGTGTACGTAGCGTATCGTTTCCATAGCTTGCGTACGGCACAGCATGTGGATGCACCACATGAAAGTGGTGCGCAACGCGAACAAGTGCATTGGGAGATGCTTCTATTTTTATTGTTGGGCGAATAGGGCCGCTACTTGCAGATTTGATTGGCTTCCTGCACTTGGTGGAAACGGATTGCTGTGTCGGTTGCAGACTTCTCTCTGTGCGCGTGCGTGCGTGCACGCATTTGTCACCAGGCTAGGAACAGCCATGATGCCAAGTCTAAGCATGGAGGAAGTTTATGCTGCTACTTACTGATACGGAAATGTTTAGGAAAAAATGTTTGTCGATTCATCACCGNNGTGAAATACCGTAAAACGCAATCCACTGTTTGCTGTCACACTCATCAGTGCACAAAATATGTCCGAATGCGTAATGTGCATGGGGATTGAGCTTATTTCAAACAAGGGGAAAAGGCGAACCTGTGATCAGCACGTTACGTACACAATCTAACATATTTCAAGCATTCATGGATAACAATGTCTTCGCGTGGCGGTGTTAACAGTAAGGTGCTTTCCTAAGCTTTGGCTAACTATTGGTAATCACTTGAGGTTAGTCGGTCGTAGCTCTAA